ATTAGGTTACTTTGACCATCGCCCACTATAGATCAACATAATCTATAAAGGTGAGAATCAAGATATTTCATGATAATTCAGTTAATGTGTTTGGGTTAATGTTTCGAATAAAGAGGAAAAAAATAAATAAAACGTAAGTGCTGTTGTGGCTGCTGTGTATCACATGATATATATATATATACTGTATATGTATATGTATATATATATATATATATATATATTTATTTATTTTTTTAATTTATTGTTTCTTTCTTTCGTAAATGTCTGATAGTCTAACCTCTATCAAGACAGTTCCGTATTAAAAATATTATGATGACAATTAAAGTTGTCATGTCCTAATCTATCTATCTATCTATCTATCTATCTATCTATCTATCTATCTGTCTGTCTGTCTGTCTATCTGTCTATCTGTCTGTCTGTCTGTCTGTCTGTCTGTCTGCCTGTCTGTAATTCTGTCATTCTATCTTTCTATCTAGTTCCTAGGTAACCTGTTTCTGGTAAGCGTTTATAGTGTCACCGTTTATATATTCCCGCCCAGAGTGTGTGTGGGGAACTGCCTTGTCCGCGCTGTAGCTCTGCTCATTCTGCACTGGCTGCCGTCAGCACGCGGAGTCTGAACGGCGAGGCGTAACTGTTACTCCACAAAACCGTGTGTTGACACGCTAGACATGAAACTGTCGCTTTGGATATAGGACTGTCCTAAAAGCCCAGATGACAAGCCTTAACCCAGAGCGAAACGGTATGTGTTTGTTGATCTATCGAGTGTTTTAGCGCTCATGAATACTTGCCCTGTATATTTAAGTAGAAGTTACGCGTGGTTGTCAAATAAAATGTCTTCGTGACTTCAAGGGAAGGGCTGAAGTTCAAATAGACTTTATTATCGAAGTTGGGCGTTGTGGAAAGTCACGGTCGGTTGTTTTAGAGACGATATCAGACAGTGTTTTGAGTTTCATACGTGTTGTGATTGTGGAGTGATTTTACCGCATCGCCCGTGTATTAAACTCACGCGCGCTGTAAACTGACTACTGTACACGCCTGCTTTTGTTTGTACTCAGAAGACACATTAAATTACGGTTGTTTGTAGGTTGTACTATGTGATGTTTGTCACTTTCACTTGACTAACGTGTTAATAATTTACCAGAATCACAAAATATTTAACTTCCTTGTCACATTTCTTAGAGTTACAAGATCTAGAGTAGAACTGTAAGATGAATGTGGAGCATTTACTTCCCCCCTCAAGCTACATAAATTGAATACAAGTTATGAACAGTTTCATAGTTTGCTTTTGGCTGGAAGGGATAAGCTTTAGTTTTTGCTTGCAGACTGTTCATCTAAATGCTTAGTTTGGCTGAGGTGCTGTTTAACTCTTTCTTGAGCAGCAGGAACTGGCACAGCACTTATGTCCTGTGCATCTTGGAAAGATCAGATCTCTGTCATGCTGTCTTTATAAATATCCCGGTGGGGTCTCTCTGCTGTGGGTGTAATTGGGCATCCCGCCTGCACTAAATGCATGCCTGTCCTGCTCGAGTGCAACCTTGAGCTGTGCTCTGTTCTTTGTCACTAGCCTGATAATACGTAGCAATTTTCAAGGCGTGCAATTATCTTGCTTGCACAGTCAATCTGCTTCCTCTCATTTTTGTTTTTAGTAAAGCAAAGCAAACCTCGTAATTTTTAGAAACATTCACTGGGCAGTACAATCTATTTCTGGGTTTACTACTTGCATTTATGCACTTTGTTTAAGAACTCAAATTAGACAACGTTTTAAGTAGAGGGAGGTCAGGACTGCTAGATCTGTGAAGGTCTTTTTGGATGTAAATAGCTTTGGTCACATTGTGCCTCAGAAGTAGACTGTCACTGAAGGAGACACTTGCTATACTCTTGCATGCTGTAGGTGTAAATGGTTGTCCCATCATGTAGGACAGGAAGTGACAGCTGGACTTAAGTGACTTTCTTGGAGGCCACACCTGGAAAAGATCCTCAGGAAGAGCAGATGGGACTGACCATCCCACGAACCCCTCAAACTTCCGGGCCATAGTCTGTTTGCCCTTACCACATAAGGAGAGTACCAAAAATTCAACAGGGGCTGAAATGATTGGATGTTGATTGCATGTCTGTTTTTGATTGTTTGTAGCTGAACAATAGCAATATTTAGATGAGATAATATTTAGATGCATTGTTTGAGTTATTTGTCCAGTGTTAACAGGTGACATATATTGCTCATTCATTATTTTTTCCAACCAATCTCATAAACCACCACATACCCGCTCCATTATGAGCATGACATCTGTAATGACATGTTAGGATTACAACACAGCTTATGTTTATAAACCAAAATGGCTTGGTAAGCACAGCATGTTTGCATCAATGAAAGACACTGTGTCAGGTTTGTCCCTTCTGTGAGCTTCTGTCAGCATAAACCCCTCATTGTATGTGCATTTTATGCTAATTAAACCTCTGGAAGGTTTATGTCGATAATGGCAGCATTAAGAAAACCCTCAGGCAACTAGTCGTGTCTCCATCGAGACTTCATTTGCTCCCTTCACCTGTTTACTTCCATTCAGAGCACTAGTATTTCCGTGCCACAGCTATTAGAGATTGTATTCAGAAAACGAGTGTTCCTCCGGGGGACGGCTTCCCAAGAAAGCTCCTGATTCTGAATATAGTTCAATTTAGATGCAAAAAAGCTCTAGCTGTGTGAGGCCCTGCTCCTTTTGCTGTTATTTCCATACAGCACAGACAAAACACTGCTGTCTGTGCCCTGAATAAAACTAGCAGCTCGCAACTTGAGCGTGTGCGCAGCACAGACTCGCTGCTATTGGAGATCTGAAGCTTGCTGAATAAGATGTGACATCTTTCTGGTGATGCCCGGTGGAATTGTGGGGTTATGATCAAAATCTTTCAGAAACCATAACAACAGATCTTAGCAAAGCTCAAACATTATTGCAGTTTCTGTTGAGTTCTGCATGGCCATTTGTAGTGTGGAATCTAGATAGAGTGTGGCAGACAGGGATTCGGGGAATGTATTCCCTGATGTAGATGGAGTGTTACTGAGGTTCAAGGTCCTTTTCCCACAGTTCTTTATAGACTTGTGTCTTTTCACAGATGCATGTGGCGCCATGCAAGAGAGAAACATGCTGGTTATGTTTGTGTACTAGTTGGTCAGAGGGCAGAGTGTTTAGATTGGAGATTTTCCGTCATTCCTGCCTCTGCAAGGGAGGCTGAAAGGCCTGCTTGAGAAAATGCACAGTTCGGTGTGCTCGTCAATGAATCATGTTTTACACATATTTTGTGTTAGTACCAGTAAAGTAAACCATAATACTAACCACAGATTACAGAAGTAAAACAAAACATTTCACACAAGTCCATTTAGTGTTTTTTTTAGGCTGTCTGCACTCTTGGAATTGTATTAACCAAGTCTTAAGCTGGGTTACGACAATGTGATCTATTAATTATTTATGGCCATTTTATTTAGAATGTACTCACTTAAGATTTTTGGCACACGCACATTCCTTAGCTGCTTTTGCAGGATGTGGAAACTCCCGCTCATAACTAATATCGGGCCTTATCTATTCAATGTGATGTGGTTTGGAAAGTGTGAGTGCAGTTTCATTGCAAGCATTCAGATTGCATGGCAGGTGAGGGAAAAATCTGAAAACTGCTCCCTGCAATTTATTTAAAACTCAGGCATTGCCATAGTAACTGCTTATCTGTTCTAACCTAGCGAACATCTATAAGTGGAGAGAGGTTTTCCTGTGATTCAGATTAGGGCTGAATGATTAATTGCATTTGCGATAATATCGCGATATGAAAAAACGATTACACTCGGTCACGTGACACGCGAGAGTAAAGAGGTGTGTTCGACTTGAAGATCAATCGGTGTGTGTCATCAAAGTATTTTTTTGTGAAAGCGAAGAGAAAAGCCATAGATGAAGTCACACAGACCCAGGCAGGTGCTGGTCATTCAAAAGCTAAATGCAGAAAATATGACGAGGTATATCTTGCTCTCGGCTTCACTCACCGTGTCTATACCGGACGCTACAGTTGTCACGTCGTGCCGCAACAGCTCTAAACTGGGCGCGACAAAGCGACCGTTGCAAATCATTTTAACTTTGTGTCAGTACGTCATAAATAGAACAAGGCATCAGTTTAATTTCGCACCACGCCGCCCCGCACCGCACCGCACCGCATCTAGTGTAGACAGCGTCACTGATTATAATGGTTCTACTGTATTTTGCCGCTCACGTCCGGTGTAGACACGGTGTTTAATGTCGTTGGTGAGGAGGAAAGCCTGTGGTTGTCCTATGCCTTAGCTACTAATAATAGTAACAGTTATTCTCTCTCATTCATTTTTCATAATGTTTAGTGAAATTATTTGGTAGTTTGAGGTGGAATGGGGATTCGGGAAAGGGGGATTGGGCAGATTTTTTTATAGGTTTAAAGGGGGGCAGGACCAAAAAAGTTTGAGAACCACTGGTCTAAAGTTAACAGACAGTGTTTAGTGCAGTCCACATGTTTACATATGTATGTTTATTACAGTGACTTTGAATTACATAAAGTAGTGTGGTAAAGCAACAGATTTGTTTTTATATTTCTGCAATCTACTTTAGTTTGTGTGATTTGTTACTGACTTTCATATTAATGTTTACACCAGGCTTATTTGTCAGTGCTTTATGTTGTCATAATAATTACATGCTTACAAGGTTGGAAGTTCAACAAATCAGTCAATATACTATGTGATTGTAAAATAAAAATTAATTCATATCAATTAATGCATCACCTAATTTCATTGTAACATGTAGGCCTTGCCTACAGAAAAGAACATTTATGTTTAATCTATCTAATAGTGTGTTGGTCATAATATACAATGATTTATATCTTGTCTTTGTTGAATAATACAGAACATAAAGAGCTTTAAAAAA